GGGCTAACCTCTGTCTCTCATTGATCAGGGGCTTCTTGATAGCCTTGTAGGACCTTAAGCCATGATCTAAAAGTCGGCCACGTACAGTGCGGGTGGAACACTGGACACCAGTTTGGTTTGACCACTGCTGCTGAAGCTCCTGTGATGTCATTCGGCGGTTTTGCCTGCACATGCGGATCAGGATGCGGTCATTTCTTGCTGAAGAAACCCTTGGACGCCCAGATCTTGGTTTGTCTTCCAAGCTGTTGGTTCGTCTGTATTTCTGCAGAGTGTATCCAACTGCTGAAGGACTGCATCTGCACTTCCTGGCTATCTGGCGGCAGCTGTACCCTTCCTGGCTGAGAATCTTTATCTTCAGGCGTGTTTCCTGCGTTAGGTTCCTTGTTTTATCCATTTTTGTGTCTGAAGAACTTTCAAATGTGCTGGCTTTATGTAGACACGAAGCTTGGCAACAAAAATTGTGTCTTTTAATAAAAAGAACGACCTTCATCACTGGTACCAAAATGACCCAATACTCAAAATTTCTTATGTATTTTTATGGAACCAATCAATTTTAAGTTTTTAATGGCTTTTTTAGGATTTATTTAGTATTTTGGCTGTGACTGTACTAAAAGAAATTGCACTTGAAGACCTAAGAGTGATTCTTAATGCAATATTTCACAAATGCATGGGGTGTCCAAAAACTTTTTTCCACCACTGTATGTATATATATTGCAGCGCTCACTGTTTGTTTGGGGTGGGACTTTTTTTGTTCTGTATGTTTTGTTGTTGCCTGTTTTGTTTTTCTGTTTCTGTTGTTTGTGCTTATAAAATTGAAAAAACAATACAAAGAGTATTAAAAAAAAAAGAAGTCACATAAAATGTTAGTCCTGTCTTTCTGCTCCCTCACCTTTGAAAGAGCTTCGTCTCATTTTCTTTAATTTTTTTTTTGATTCCTCCCATGACGTGGTTGATCCTGGCATTGCAGCTCAGGTTCTTTGGCTTGTAGCAGAACCAAGGGTCGCCTGTAAGACGGTCAGTGAAGTTGCACAGCGGCTGCTGGGTTGGACGTAGGCAGATGTCACAGATGGTAATTTCAGAGAGTGAGCCTAAGCGGAAGAGGCTCTTGAAGAAAACCCTGTCGGGCTGTTCTCTGTTTATCCTGTTCAGCACTGTGATAGCCTCATTAGGGTGAACCAGCATCACCTGATTGGATAGAGAACCAGACTTTTCACTACGTCCAATTGCGTTCAGTCATATCAACAAAGACAAATTAAGTCGATACCTCTTAAAGCTCCACACTTTGACACATCTAAAAGATTTGCATCTACATAAACAAGATTGATCTTCAGATGACAGTCTCTGGAAAATGGTTCATTCACTAAACCCCTCCCCCAAACTCACTCGCCAAGGATCATTTCATACTACAGTATTTTGTAGGGTAACATTATGTAGCAAAAAAACAAACAAAAGAACTAGCACATATACTGTGCAGTATTTCACCACTATATGGGAGCATAATACCAAAACAATGCTCTGTGTTTATGTTGACTGTTTGTCATGCAGCTTTAGCTTCCATCTTTCAGTCCAATATCATGTATGTAGCTGTTAGGTACTCATTTAAAAACTCCCTTTACAGGCTTGTGTTTTAAAACAAGTCTACCGGTAACAACAAAATCTCGGCTCCATGAGTCGCTGTCTTCATCTAACTCATAGAGCTACTGAGCTAACTTAATTAGCTAACTATCTACAGTTCATAAGAACTGCTGGTGGCCATTTGCAGCTGACAAAATCTTCAATCAGTTGCTATAAATAAGACCCTGGGTTCAGGGCACTCCTCGGCTGCATCCCAAGTCTCTTACTTGTATACTGCTAACTCCTAACTCCTGACTTGAACCGGAAGTTGTTCGGGGTCCGCCATCTTTAAGGTAGGGTGACCATATTTTGATTTCCAAAAAAGAGGACATTCGGCCGGCCACGACATAGCCTACTTAAATGATACTCGCAGTTTACTCAAAGATGCCTTATAATTTTAATATATTTAAAATTTATATGTATGGATAGAAAATTCAGTTATATCACAAAATAATACCTCTCAAAGACAGAAATTCAGTCCCCCAATAGGGGACACATACACACACTAGAGTGTGGCGATCCATGCCCAATGGTACCCGATGGGTCGGGCCGGGTTTGGTCAGAAATGTAGCTATAAATTGTATTCGGGCTCGGGTCGGATTCGGTCAGCTTTCAGTGAAAATATAGTGTAAAAATAATTAAAATCCTATTGTCTGTCCTGTTTATTGCTTGGGCTCTGTTATTTACGTGACAACACCTGAACATAACACACACAGACACACATTGGCTTTTTGTTTCTACCTCTCTCCTCGCTGGAAGTCTCGGACCTCCAGCCGCCCGTCTCCGCCTTGATTAAACGCTTAAAATAAAATAAAAGAGGGAGACAGGTTTTTCCTATTTTTATCTTATTTTGTTTTATTTCTCCCTCTCCTCTCGCTGGAAGCGTCAGACCTCCCGCCTCCCGCTCCCATCTCAAACACGGAGGTCTCCCTCTCCGCAGCTGAGCACCCACGGCACTGTTAAATAGCCTGTAACCATAACAACTGTGTGACACAAACTCAGTGCTTTGGTCATTAAATAATGTCGGGCTTGGTTCGGGTTCGGACAGAAATATGCTGCCCGTGCCGCACTCTAACACACGCACACACAAACACACGGAAAACCGGACATTATCATCAGTTTATAAAATCCCCCCGGACGCCCCGGACGGGACGTGAAAAGTGGACATGTCGGGGCAAAAGAGGACGTTTGGTCAGCCATCTTTAAGGCCGTCTCATGTCTCTTATTCCTGCCAGTAAGGAGTTAGCGTTAGGAGTTAGGAGGGCTCTGTTAGGTGCGATGAGTAAGGTAACATGAGAGGTTCCTAACAGGAAGTCTTTTTCAGCTTGAGGCTCTGACGTATAAATACCCGCCCTCTACATATGGCTCATTTGAACAAGATGGCAGAGAAACAGCGTAAGTGTACCCGTTACATGCATTCTTTGCAATGAAACGCTGTAATTCACATGCCTACTTGACTACAAAGAGTAACGTTAATGATATTTCCTGCAAGACTGTCATGTTGTAATTATGTTTATTTCATTCACAACCTGTTGCGGTGTTCAGCGGACTGTTGGTGATGTGTCTTAATCAGCAATCCTCGCTCCTCACTCCTAACTCCTAACTCCTTGCATGTTTTCCTAAGTGGGAGGGACTAAACAGTTAGATAAGGTGGCTAGATAAGGTGGTTAGCAGACACTTAAGGTTTAGTTTTTCCTTAGCTGAGAAAATTACTTAAGGGTGTTGCACAGAATGTCTTAAAAGGTTTCCTTTGTCAAGGAAAGGCATTAAGATATTCACTGTACTGAAAGAGTTTTTACAGCAGTAAAATTATACTGTTTCCACGGAGGCCTTTTTTTTGCTTGAACATGTGCTTGTAGTGGCCGAGGCTACCTGTTGTCACGCCTAAGTATCCTCTTACAAAGTTGGCCTGATAGTAAAAAAAAAATTGCAGAGGATAAGAAGTGTTGGGAATAGAATGATGTTATGTGTTTTACTATAAATTGTGTTTCACTATATAAGTTTTAGATGTGTGAACAATGAGAATACTGAGATGATTTCAGCTGATCTGAATGTGTTTGCTTTGCAGAAGTGGAGAAGTACAGGAGAGGAAGAGACATGAAGTCTGAGGAGCACATACCGCAATGCTTAGATAATTAGTTTCATATACGGTAAAAAGAATAGAAAGTGATATACAGATAGTAAGGTACAGCACGTGTAGGGAGTTGTGTTGTTCTCTTGTCTTTCAAAACAGGAACCACGCCCCCACCGCCAGCGGGAAGGAGTCAGATTAACAGGAGGCAGGGGCGTGGTGTGGTGAAGGAGGAAGTGGAACTGCCAATGAGAAGAGGACAACGCCTTGCGTGCACAATGACACTCTGTTACGCTCAAATATACTGGGTCAGGGGAAGGACAGGAGGTCAGACTTCGTGAACTGACACACCTTTGTTGTTCGTCAGGGACGTGAAGTTGAGACCCAGAGCTCTGTAATTTTATTCCTTTACTGCTTAATAAACTACATTAACTGAGACCGAATATCTTCTCCTATTGCTTCATTAAAGAACACGCAGGACTGAGCTCACACATAGCACATTAGAGAGTAGGATGAGACTCTCAGTCCATCAGAAGACACAAAAACCAGATTGGTTAGAGGAAGAAAAAAACATACTTAGAGAGAAATTCAATAAAACAAAAAACATATTGACGAGTAAATTTGATCCAAAAATACAACAAATATGAAGCAACGAACGTGGGAGGATATTGCGTTTGAAACCCGGTGAATGACGCAGCACAAGTTTGACTTGTGTACATGAAATATCTCACCAATAACTGATTGGCGTTGCATAAAACATAAAACATAAAACACCATCAATACAACCACATTTAACATGACAGGCTTTAGCATCACCTTAACCTGCGCGTCTCCTTCCCAGGGTAAAGAGAACACAGCAGAGTAGCTCCCATTGAGATGATCCACCACTTGCCCAGCTACACCTGCAACAAGCTTCATGTTGTGGAGTCGGGCGAGTAAGAAGTCCCCCCCAGACTTCTTGAGATGACCATGGAAGTCAGACATTGTTATCATGACCTCCAGCTGATCCCCTACATGCCACTGTCCTCCTCCCCTCCTTGGGAGAATGGTGAAGGTGCTGTGAGCTGGATCACTGGTATTCTCCAGGGAGAAAGGACCTGGCAAAAGTGGAGTTTCAGGCCAAGCAATGGAGTCTAGTAGGAGGCGTTCCTCCAGAGCGTCCTCAGGGGAGAGTGGCTGGAAGGTGCAGAAGCCGTTGTTCATGTCTGGGTCAGCGGAAACTTTCGGGATGATGATAGTGGAGTTCACTTTATGCTGAAACTGCTGGGGGGTCAAGAGAGAGATGGTGACAAAGTTGCATCAAACAAATGCACTTAAAGCACATTAACTAAAAAAGCAAAAAGAAATAGACACTGGAACACACATTTGAAAACAATATGCTGAAAACTGTGTAAAGTTAAACATTTCAAATAGGGTCCAGTCTTTGAGGGTTCTCACCTCCAGGACCTCCATGTTACGTAGCCCAAAGATTAAGGCAGCCACAGCCAGAAAGAGGAAGATGACAGTAAACTCCCTTCTTGTACAAGCTCTAACCTTCATGATAGTCTTCAGCTATGGCTGCAGCACTACGACCACTTCCTCTGGCACTGGATCAAAACTTAAACAAAAAACAACAACAGGGTAACAACACTTTTGATGCTATAGAATATTACTGCTATTGTTACTAATAGCATAGATAGAAAAATTCATATACCTGCTGGCAACCACAAGTACCATGTCAAAAGGTGTAAAATGTATCCTCAAGAGAAGAAAAGCTGAGGAGGGACTGCCCCTCGTCAGTCATACCTGTGTGCTGATGATGGCTCTTGCTTGCAAGCCAGAAAATTAAGAGCCTTAGACAAATATTGTTTTATAAGTATTGCATTACTTACTCTCGGCAAACCTAGACAAACACTGATTTTTAGTTCCCATGACACTTCACATAATTCTCTTTATTTTTTTAGCGACACAAGCAGTGTGAGTCCACCACTTTGGTACAGACTGAAATGTCTCAACAAATATTTTATGAATTGTCATGAAACATGATATGGCTCCCAGATGACGAAGTCTCATGACTTAAGTGATCCCATCTTTTCTGTAGTGCTACTGTGGGACAAAGGTTTTATGTATCCAGTGAAATAACTCAACCTATATTAGATGGACTGGCACACAATTTCACACTCATTCTCTGACGATGACTTCGGTGATGTCCTGACTTCTCCTCTCGCAAAATTTATGGTAGTAAGTGAAATGTCCTAACAACTACTGGGTGGTTTGGTTTGCCTTAAGGACATTTACCTCCGCACTGTGGTGGATACCTGAGGCCAGCTAAGCGTTCTGCCTTCATCTGCTTGGCCATCAGTGCTTTTAAGAGGGTAACCTCTTTGGAAAGCCGTGAAGTGGCCAACACCACTGGAGCTGAAAACGACAGCCTCCCTGGGAAAGACCCTTGAAAAATCTAAATTCTAACATACCCATTAATATTGCTACAAGAAATAACTACAAAGAAGATGGCAAAATCAGAGATGGCCACTGAGAGAGATCTTCTGACCACATGTGGTTTGCTTGGAAAAACAAGAGGAACTTTTGAAATGGAAACTTTCAGTTTCCTCTCTGAGTGTTGTTTTGTCAAAAGCCAAATTAGAATATATGTGTATGTAATCTATGCTGTATAAAGTTGCAGAGTTAGTAAAGGATGTTAAGTGGTATAAAAAAATTGTGTGAAGCATCAGCTAACTAACATCAACTTTGCTTTGACAATGCCAACCACCCAATATCCTTACTACAAAGACAATGCAACACTAAACTCATTGAATAACATTATATTAATGTCTGTGCATTGATAGAAGTTAAGCAGTCTTGTGTAGCCTGAATACTGTTCTAGTGCTATGTCCACTTATTACTTTACCAGTTCATGAATGGAGGGAACAGTTTCATTGTTGTGCTGTTTGTAAGCGGGCTGTCAACCATTGTGGATGTGCAACTTAAAAGAACTGGGGTTCTTGTTCTAATGACCTGGTGTCCTAAAATAGTATTTTGCAATAGGGGTTTTACTGACAAAATATTACTGACGAATGAATCCAAGTGTACTTGCAGAGTTGGACAGTGGCGTCAAATCAGAATTTAGGCTTTCTATAAACAGGGTGTCTGACTTTTAATTTTTTTGCTTTTGCTGCTGACAAATCAAGTTTGCCTTTGTAACTGCCAGAAAGTTAAAGTAATTTGAAACGACATCTGTCTGGAAGATTGACACTGTGACAGAGAGAGAACTACAATGTTTGGAAGGTTCTTGTCCTTCTTGCTCAAGTGACTCTTATTAGTTGGTCAGGGTTCTGGCTCAGTGAAGGGTGGTCTAAAGGGGTCAGTAAGCTACAACCCAGTGTTTTTCCGAACATCAGACAGCATCTTACCCTTCTATGAGAGGCTGAAATGTGCTAAGATCGCAAGACTATGGTGGGAAGATTGTGATTCAACATGGTAGCACCCTGGTGCTAGATCAAATTTAACATTTCTCCTGCTTTCATACCAGCCAACACAAGACAATTCTGTACATCATTAAGTATGAAGGACTTAAAAGGATTAATCGATCACTACTTCTACCAGTGTGCAGTGGAGGAAGAAATCAACAACCCGGACCACCTGACTCCCAACACGACCAAAAGGAAAGAACAAGATTCATCTACCGACACAGACAACCTACACACCACCAATATACAGGTCGGTGTTCTCGAATCCATCAACAAAAAACTCAATGTTCTGAGCACGCTTCATGCAGAGATCAAAGACCTGAAATTGAGTCTCGAATTTACTCACCATCAAATAGATGATCTCCAGAGAAATGACACAGAACTCCACAGCTCAGTTGAACTGCTCACTTCTCAGATGGACACAATTCAAAAAGAAATGAAAATACTGAAAGAAGCTGTTCTTGACATTCAAAAGTGAAGCATGTGAGATAATCTGATCTTTTCTGGCATCACCAAACCCACAACAGACAACCATGAAAAACTTTTCAAAAACTTTGCGCACTCCACTATGAAACTTGCAACAGAAACCACCAACTTGGAGCCTGCGTTAGAACCCGAATCCATCCCATCATCGCAAAGTTTGAACATTTCCAGCAGAAGGACTGCGTCAAGAGGAAGGGATAGGAGCTGAAAGGGACAGCATTTGGAATTAATGATCAATTTCCTGAAGAAATTAATGAGTGATTGAAAGTACTGTATTGTATCCTCACACAGTGCAGCCAGAAGGGTGGACAGGCTGGCCAGGTTGTGGATAAGTTGTGCACTGAGGGACAGCTATTCCGGAATTCCTCCATCATCCTCCATAATCAAGGACATTTATATAAATAAATATATATACAACACAGCACACAACAAACACCACAAACTGTCTATATCTGAGGCACTGGGGACTGTCAAGCAAAGGCTCACAGCTCTGGCTACCCACCCTTAAAGAGATACACAAGAGAAGAAGAAGCCAGGAGAAGAAACAGGATGTTCTCCACCGAACCATCCATAGTGTACTCTCAGTTGCAAACTAACAACATGAGAAGAAATCCACCCAAGGCTGAAATTGAACAATACTGGCAGAGCATATGGGAGAAAAAGGCATCACATAAGACCAATGCTAAGTGGCTAGTGGATCTTAGAGCAGACCACAGCAATCTCCCAGAACAAGAGCCAGTTACCATCACAATGCCAGACATCCAAAAAAGAGTATCGGGCATGAAGAGCTGGACAGCAACACCTGATCTCCTGCTTGGAAATGTACAAAATCAACAGGACACTAAGAGGCTTCATCAAGAACTCAATGGGGCTGGGAAAACGACTCTGGGGGCCAACTCAAAGCCAGCTGCACAAGTTACCATCAAGTACGGCATATACCAAGGTGATGAGCTGTTCTGCATAGGCCCAAACTCCCTTAGTCAACTCATCACAAAGAGTGGCTATGAATACCAGTTCCGAAGTGGAGCAACCATCAGTCACCTCCTCTACATGGATGACATCAAGTTGGCAACCAAAATCCAGGAATACATTAGAAAGATGGCCCCCAAAGATGAGCTGCTAAGTGAATACCTCAGGCAGCAGAAACCTGAGAATGGAGAAGAGGATGAACCATCATGGAAGGAAAAGCAGTAATTGGGTACACAAGACACTTTTAATTGAGAATTGATGCCATGGGCCAAATTCTAAATTTTAAAAATATAGAACTGATAAAAGAAAAAGAAAAAATGTCTTGCATAAAGGGTACTTATAGACAGAAAGGGCAGGTGCTTGGGCACCACCTGGGGTCAATCTGTGCATGTGCTTGCTGATAATGAAACAAAAATGACATGCAGTGTGGATCTGTGGTACATGAAGAGCAGGAGCTGCACAGGTCTGTTCCATGGGATTCTAAGAACATTAGCATTTTATTTAGAAGATTATTTTAACAATTAGTGTGTGACTAAAAAAAAAGAAGGAGAAGAGAATGAGGAGAGGAGGGGAACAAATTGAGAAGGGGACAGCAATGGAAAGGAGTGGAAAAGGAAGCCAGGAGAGGAGAGGAGAGGAGAGGAGAGGAGAGGAGAGGAAAATGCACTTTGCCTGATTGTTGTAACTCAACACAGGCCTTTGTAGTTTGGAGTGTAGACTGTTTAATATTTTATTTATTCAGTGAACAGCGTTATTCAATGTTGTGCAAGGGTTTGTTAATTTTCAATGGTTATTTATTTTATAGACCACTAAAGTGTGCACAGTGTAGCACTGTTTCCTTTGTTGTTGTTGTTGGTTACAAATAAATAATAAATGTGGAGAGGGAATGTGTCGCAGGTTCCATATATAGTGTAATGCTGGTATTGAGTTAGCATTAACTGTATAATAGCCTACTGTATATAGGGTAATGTGGGTAATAACAGCACAGGGACAACTTCACCGGAGGAAAACATGTGAATACTTTAATGTCCGTTTAGAAAAGTAGGACAACTGACTATTCATTGACACATATCACTCTGCCCAATGTAAACAAACACTACAAATCAGCTTATGTATATAGTTCCTCATTCCAACAAATGTAAATAATGTATTTATTAAATAATAAACCATTAACTAAATCATGAAATATTCAATACCCAAAACAAAACAACATTGAGAACAACACTAAAACAAAATTAAAGCTGCAAGCAGCGTTTGGCGGGACCTCGCACTCGTGCCCGTTTCGGCCCCCAGCTTATGTCGTCACTGTGAATTATTTAGAAATATCAAACATGTTGCCACAAACATCAGAAAATCCTTACAGAGCTGAACGTTTTGATGTTTGAATGCTTTCTGTAGCTGTAGGTATGGATAAATGATGTCACGATATGCAAATTAGATGAGTGAATTTATTCCCATCAGATTCCTCGTCCTTTATTTTGAGGAACAGACAACAAAAACAACACAAAACAAAATAAATTTACTGTGTAAATATGTTCAAAATGTTGTTTTACTGAGATGTATGAAATCCAATATGGCTGCCGCCTAGTGATGTCACAATATGCAAATTAGATAAGTTAATTTACTCCCATGACAAAGTCTGGGTTATGATGAATAGTTTTCTCATTTACAGTATGCCTTTATCTCTCGCCACTTTCAAGCCACAGTCTTTTGAAATGTTGAAATGAAAATGGAATATTTTCCTCAAATAACTCTGGCACCTAAAGGGTTAAAATGGAGATTGTGCCCCTGTCATGTCTGCATGTAAGATTTAGACACACACACACATCATGTTTCTGTGAGTTTGTGTGTGACAGCGGTTGCCATGGTGATGAAGTAGGTGCACTTGGCAGAAGAGCAGAGAGAGACAGAACACAGAGAGAGACCTGTTTTAGTGGAGATTTAACTCCTCGAAGAAGTTCTTCCCATTCCCAAACCGTTGGTCCAATCAAGAAAATAAAGTGATGGTGAGAGCCAGCCACTTCTCGTGAACGCTCGTGTTGTGTTTTATATTTCTCGAGTCAAAAATGTGGTCAGAGGAACAAGTTTAAAATGTGTTGCACCTAAGCTGTTTCCAGAAATTTCTCCTCTGAGTCGGCGCTCCCTTCGCTTTGGAGCCACTCAGCAAAAATGTGTACATGTGAGAGATTCCATGTCAACATATCTGTGACCAGGACAAATTTTCCTACGTTTTGTGGTATAAATTGTGTCTGTACAGTGAAAATTGTGGCCATGGCAGCGAGTTAAAGACAAAAGTTTTAGACGATTTTTAGAGCTCTCTCCACTCTAGCGCGCAGCATTCCGTGCAATACACACCCATTATAAACTGACAATTTCTCCACTTTTACTCATGGTACTTTGAGAGGCACAGATGAAAAATGGTAATAGATGAGACCTGTGG